TGAGTCATCAGTCTTGAAATTTCTAAGTCTGAGCCAAGCAGAAGAAACTAAGCTGTGTCTACAGAGAGTGTGTGTATGTTTATACAGTTGTCCAGCTTAAGAAAACAAAACATCTACATATAAAATAAATCTGTACATTTAAAGTTAAATATTAAATCAATACGAGTAGTCCTCGACTTAACTATAGTTTATTTAGTGATCATCCCAAGTTCCAACAGCACTGAAAAAAGTGATGATCATTTTTCACACTTATGACCATGGCCATGTGATCAAAATTCAGATTTTTGGCAATTGTCTCATATTTATAACCGTTGCAGTGTCCTGGGATCATGTTATCCCCTTTTGCAACCTTCTGACAAGCAAAGTCAATGGGGAAGCCAGATTCACTTAACAACTGTGGCAAAAAAGGTCATAAATTGAGGAAAAATTCACTTAACACCTGTCTTGCTTAGCAACAGAAATTTTGGGTTCAATTGTGGTCGCAAGTCAAGGACTCTCTGTATTTTAAATCACGTTAAACAAGCTTCTTCTTTCTGTCAACTTGGCATTTCTTTCCTGATGAGAGAGAATTCTGTCAGCCGAATTTCCCTCAGAGCAATTGTGCTGAAGAAATAATAACTCTCTGAGTAAAAAGTACTGAAACAACAGAGTTCTGAGTAATCTTCTTTAGTGAAAGCTGAAACCTCTGGGAGTTGGGATTCAATACCAGCCATCATTTTTTCTGTCTGGGGTTGTGTGTGGTGATACAGGCTCTGACTTGTCAGAGCTCCTCAATTTTTTGCAAGCTCCAAGCATCCCACGCTGGGGAACCAATAAAAAGTCAGATTTTATATGCCAATGTGCATCGCCTCCAGGTATCTCCACAAGCTTGCATGTAAAACCGTAAAACGATTGTGATCTAAAATTAAACCACGCATAGCAAGAAGTGGTTTGTGGTTGAATGGGAAAACCTTAATGCAATGTCTCTCAACTTTAAGACTCATGGTCTTCAATTCCCAGAAATCTCCAGCGAGCATGGGAGAATTCTGGGAATTGGAGTCCACCTATTTTATCATTGCCAAAACTGAGAAACACTGCTCTAATGGCTTAAACTAAAGGATGATCTAATCCAATGAGAGTTAAGTGTGTGTGAATGTGGTGGGCTAAAAGTAGGTGGAGTGGCTTGGGTTCGAGTCTCCCCCTCAGCCACAGAAGCATCTTGGGTGATTTTGGGCTGGCCCCTTCTGCTCAACCCCACAAGCAAGGTGGTCCAGGGATGAAGCTACTGGACAAAGAACAGGGAGACCCATTCAAATCCTCTTTTAACCCAAGAAGCTTCCTGAAGGACCAGTGACGTATTAAGCAGACTAAGCACGGGTTTAGGGCACCAGCCCCAAAGGGGGCACCACAAAGTTGAGAATATGGCTTTGTTTGTACAGCATGTACAAAGGGGGTGGCACCAAGATTTATCAGTGCTTTGGGCACCAGTGAGCCTTAATCTGCCACTGTGGAGGACTCAGGAGCTAATCCCTCTCATTTAATCCAACCTACCTTGTAGGTTTGTTGTGGGGAGGGAGTGCTATATAGATTGTATCCTCTACAGCAGGGATATAATTAAAATAAATCGATCACCCCATTTCTAAATGTTGACAACAACATAGCTTCAAGAAGCCCCGGCCCAGAAAGATAAGAGGCTACATCTGCACAGTAAGCAAGTAAGCATAATCAAGTAAGCACCCCAAGTTTATCCATTTCATCCTCCAGCACCCTCCCCCCACAATTTCTATGGCAGCCAGAAAGGATTCTTGGAGGCTGACATCCACAAGGAATGAATGAACAGCCTTCTTCTCCTGTGAACAGCATTTATCTTGGCAACTTTAAGGTATCTGGACTTTAAGTTGGCTGTAGAGTTCTGGGAGTTGAAGTCCAATCATGTTAAAGCTGTTAAACGTTTAGAAACAGTGCTCTACAACCCTTTTTCTTCACCATGGACCCACTTTTAAATACCTTTTGTGGCCATAGATCATGGCCACCGACCCCCAAGACTGCATTCAAGATTTAAAGCACTAGACTGCATCAAATATTCACGGACACCCCCCCGGATGATCTGTGGTCTGTGGACCACAGATTGAAAACCACTGTTCTAGAATGTGAGATTCAGAGGAAAGCTGCCTCTGCACATAATGGCTCTATTGAGGTTCCAGATTTCAGCTCAGAAAGAATACAGACAATCAGTAAATGATCAGAGTTTCTAGGATCTGGTTCTGCTTTCTCCACATCATCTGGTGTCTTCCAGCAGGATTGGGCCTGCAATTCTTGGGATTTCCAATCAAAGCAATCAAAGATCTTGTGTTGCAGCGACCAAGAGGGTTGACCTAATTCCAATACATTAAAATACTGGGTGCTATCCTTGAAATTTTTCACAAAAATTATAAGTACAACACAAACTCAACCAAGAAACACAATTCAGAAATTCTTCAAAATGGAGGAGATATCTGTTTGGTCTAATTGTTAAGGCAACAGGCTAGAAACCCAGACAGTGAGTTCTAGTTGTGCCTTAGGTATGAAAACTAGCTGGGTGACTTTGGACTAGTCACTCTCTCTCAGCCCAACCCCACTCACAGGCTTGTTGTTGTTGTTGTGGGAAAAATAGGAGGTAGGTGTGTTGGATACATTCACTACCTTGAGTTATTTGTAAAAATAATAAAGGCAGGATACAAGCAAACAAACAAATAACTATAAACTTCAAAATTCCACCCAATTTCTTATTCTCTCATCTCTATTCTTTTTTTGTTGGTTGTTATTTCTGTTGTCTTTTTTATGTTCTAAATCATTTGTACACCACCTAAAGTTTTTGGGAGTCAGGAAGCCTATACATTTAATAATTATTAATTATACCTCACTTACTTTGGTCATATCATATGTGGAGAATTCATTGGAGTTAATTCCCATAATTGGGAATTCTAGTTATGTTTGGAGGAGTTAGCGGTAAAGGGAAACCAGGCCATCAAAAAACATGGTGGCTGGATGCTGACACTAGATAGAGTACAGAAAAACTCAAAGAAATAGTGCAAGATTGGAAGAGACCTGACCCATAAAATCTCCAAGAATCAGACTTGACTGAATGGATAACAGCCATCATCAATAAAATAAAGAATGAGGATAACCATAATACTGCAATAACTGAAGGGGTAGCACAACACAAAACATTCCTGATAAAGCTAAGCAAGGTTAGGCTTGGCTAATACCTGAATGGAGTATCAGAAAACCCCAGGTCTCAGACTGGGAAATTTAAAATGAGAAACAAATCCAGAAAATGGCAATTGCAAAGCACTGCTTCCTTTCTGCCCTTTTTGTTTCTTGTTGCTTCCATTGGTCTTGTTTTAATATTTTATGTCATTTTATAAACCAACCAGAGTTGCTGAGAGTCAGGAGGCATATACATTTTATATTCTGGTTATAAATCCAAAAGACAGCAATGACACAATTGTCAAGAAACTGTAGAGATTCTCAGTCATCCAGGTCATGGTTGTCCCAAAGGTGCTTTTTCAAGACGCAACTGAACCTTCTTTGTTTTTTCATTTGAAGATGTTTCGCTTCTCATCCAAGAAGCTTCTTCAGCTCTGACAGGATGGTGGGGAATGGAAGGATTTATATTCCTTGCAGACAGCTGGTCATTTGCATCATTTTAGAGGGTCCTTGAAGCACTTGGAGGTTTATCTGTGTCCTCAGATATAAAGACTTCTCTACAGACTTTTAGCTATTCAATTCAGGATGAACACCCTTTGAATGGTGTGGGAGTAGGAATGGATTTCCAGAGGAAAAATTGCAGACTACAAGAACCAGGAGCACTACTCAGGTTATCCTGAGGACACAGATAAACCTCCAAGTGCTTCAAGGACCCTCTAAAAGGATGCAAATGACCAGCTGTCTGCAAGGAATATAAATCCTTCCATTCCCACCATCCTGTCAGAGCTGAAGAAGCTTCCTGGATGAGAAGTGAAACATCCTCAAAGAAAAAACAAAGGAAGTCCAGTTGCCTCCAGAAAAAACACCTTGGGACAATTGTTAAAAGGGCTACATTGATATCTCCAGGTAGGCACCAAGCTTTAATCTCCGCTAGAGGGAGTTATATCTGAGTCCCGAAAGTCCTGAAAGTCAGTAACAGTTTAAAAAAAATACAATACAGAAAATGGAACAATCACTTAGGAAAATAAAAAGAATCTGCTTACTTACAACCTCAAAATGCTCCCCCCACCCCCGCCAAAAAAAGCATGCTAAGTAAAAAAAAAAAAAAACCTGTTGGAAAAGGAAATATTGTAATTGTGAGACCAACCTATAGTAGAGGTATTTAGTATTTTTTTTTTAGTATTTATTTGATTTTTCAATCGCTTACAAGATACAGGTATAAGAATAAATATAGTTTTGAATACATGAGATAGATACTTATAAGAAAAATAAAAAACAAAATCCCTAAGTCTTAAAAGTTGCCAAGTTTGGGGACCCCGACCTATAGTAAGCAGCACCTCCTTGTGGGATGAAGCAAACAGAGGATTCCCTCCCCCCCTTTACTACTCTATGTCTGAATGCCAAAAAACGTTAAGAATGGGATACATTTGCCGGGATGAGTGGATCGGACCACAGGGGCTCCCTTGGAAGTAGAAACGGGGTTTCTTTAATTGGGGAGTTTAAATTGGAGGGCGCCCCTCCGAAATCCATAGCGAAAGGGTCGCAAAGCGCCCGCAAGAGAGATCCTGTTCGGATTTGAAACCCCAGGGAAGCAGAACAAACCTGGTTAGCTTGCTGGGGGTAGTAGGAGGTCAGGAAATTAAGCTTGGCTTGATGCCTCAGGGTTGGGTTGGCTTGGCTTAAAATTGGGGATGGGGCCCCCGATCCTTAGCCAGGACAGCCGCGCGGTCTCCGGGGAAGACTGGAAACGGGACGGAGCGACCGCGGGCTCGCCTCTAGGGCGCAGCAGAAGAACCGGGATGCCCGGGAAGGGGTGGGGACGCGGCGGGTACCTGATTTGGGGTAAGGTGAGGCTGTTGCTGCGCAGGGCCACCCCCAGCTTCGCCATCCTGGACGTTTGGCCAAGCGTCCGCGACTATGATCGCGCGGAGCCGGTACTCGGGAGACGGGCAGGTCGGATCGGCAGCCTCTGGTTTTGCTCCGGACCGTCCGATCTTTTCCTCCTCCCCTTTTTCCGGACCATCCGATTTTCTCCTCCTCCCCTTTGCCTTCCTCCGCGGCTGACGCGGCGCCGCGGGAAAAAACTTCTTCGAACTCCGCCAAAATTCAGGAGAGGATCTTCTGGCGCCCCTCGCAGCTCGCGGGTGGAGGAGGAAGAGGACGGATTCCTTCGCTCGGCTTGCGTCTCTCGCCCGAAAATCGAGATCAGCCTTTTCGGGAAGCCGGAGAGCGATTCGGAATCTCTACAACTCACCGGAGTGACTCCGGATTGGCCGAAAGGAAACGGCGATTGCTAAGGGCAAAGGCGCCCCCTGGTGGTTTAGAAGAAATTGAAAGGAAGTCTAGGTTCGGCCTAAGCACTTATCCATGTCGGGCATCGTGGTTTATTTCTTAGTTAGATTTATAGCCTATAACAGATAACAGATAATCAGAGTTGGAAAGGACCTTATAGGTCATCTAATCCAACCCCCACCCCCAAGCGGGAGACCCTACACCCTTTCTGACAGATGGCAGTCCAATCTCTTCTCGAAAGTCTCAAGTGATGGCGCTTCCACAACTTCTGAAGGCAACTTCTGTTCTATGGGTTGATTGTTTCTCACTGTCAGAAAGTTTCTCCTTGTTTCCAGGTTGAATCTCTCCTTGTTCAGTTTCCATCCATTATTCCTTGTCTGGCCTTCAGATGCTTTGGGAAAAAAAGCTTGACCCCTTCCTCTCTGTTTGCAGCCCCTCAAATATTGGAATATATGTGATATATTTCCTTTGGTTGCTCATGGTGGTATATTATGGTGCTTTCTCTTCCCATTCTCCCTGCCTTCCCCAAACTAGAACAACAATCCTGATTATCTGTTTTAAATTAAAAAAACCAATCTTGCAGGGTAGGGTAGGCTAGGCAAAAAGAGTGTGACTACCAGCTTCATTAAAAGCGAAAGGTTGGTTAGTTCTGAAGTGGAAGTGGACTATTCCAAAAAATAAGAAATCTGATATTTCGTGAAGAGCTTTGCTTTTATAGATCCTGGGAGTCATCTGAGAAAATTATTTTGGGTAGAGAGCAGGACTTTAGCAGCTGGAGTGGGTTCGAGTGATGGGTTTTCTATTGAGCTGTGAAAATGTTGGTACTGTGAAAATGAAAAAATGAAGTATTCTATTTTTTATATTTATTATTTATTCATTTTATATAATTTCTATAGCCTGCCTTCTTAAGCAAGTGACTCAGGACAGCGTAAAATCATAAAAACATTTCAAAAGAAGTATAGCATAATAAAAGAATAAATAATACATGACTGACAAGGAAACATATCTAGAGGTATCAATATGACCAGTATTACTTAAAAAAAATTTCTTTCAGAATTCTTTCCCACTTCTATATTTATCAATATTTACTGAATTAATAATTCCAATCAACACATTTGCTGCTACCATCTCTTACAATTTTTTGATGGGAATTTAATATTATTTATTATTTTTCAACACAGGCTGGCAAATATTTGATTTCATGCATAACATGAAATTTCATAACAACCGGTTCTGTGGGCGTGGCCTAATTTGTGGGTGCGGTCTGGTGGTCGTGTGACTGGCTGGGCATGACTGGTATGTAAATATTATAAATATTTATATGAATATTGAATTTTTTTATTAAAAAAAAGAGCAACTTTTACCCAAAATCAGGCAAAGCAGACAGGCAGATTGAGTTGCTCACAGAATCACAGATTCATTCAGAGATCTGTGGGATCGCCTACCTGAGCCTGTCACATAAAATTTGCTTGCAAGAAAACTCACAAAATTAACTCACAACACACCATGTATGGAAATATTGATTTTTTTTTATTAAAAAAAGAGCAACTTTTATCCAAAATCAGACAGGCAGATTAAGTTGCTCACAGAATCACAGATTCATACAGAGATCTTTCTGCCATCGGCTAGCTGAGTCTGCACTGCTTCAGTCCTAAGGAAGGTCTAAAGTTTAGCTAGAAAGCAAGAAATCCGACAATTTCCTGCATTTCTAGTTAATCTAAATCTCTCAGCACAGCAGAACAGCTGATGGTTGGGGGAAAAAAGGAAAAATAGCAACTTAGCAGGCAAGTTTGCCAGGTAAGGAGTGAGTGGGCGGAGAGGGTTCCTGCAGGCCATGTGGGCAGCACAGCCTTGTGTTCCTGCGCAGCCTGGATTAATTGCTTTGGGGGGTGCTCTGGGGATGACATTTCTCTGCAGCCCACCAAAATTTTCTCTCGGACCACCAGTTGGCAACTGCTGGTCTGGAGCAGTGTTTCTCAACTTTCACAACTTTTAAGACATGTGGACGTCAACTCCCAGAATTTCCAGATTTCCCCAGTAAGATATGTGTCATCTTAAAATTGCCAGGGTGAGAAACTCTGATCCAGAACAATGTTTCTCAGCCTTCACAATTTAAAGATGGCTGACTGAGGAATTCTGGGAATTGAAGTCCACATATTTCAAACACTGGACTAGAGTGAGTAACAGAGTAAAGACCTGAGCTTATTGTATGTTAATATAACCCCTTATTAGGACTAGTTATATGAATCTTACTTTGAGTTGGGATTGTTCTATTTGTTTGTTTATAAAGGTAAAGGTAAAAGTCCCCCTCGCACATACATGCTATCGCTTCTGGCTCTAGGGGGTGGTGCTTATCTCTGTTACAAAGCCATAGAGCCAGTACTATCTGAAAATGTCTCCGTGGTCATGTGGCTGGCATGACTAAATGCCGAAGGCACATGAAACGCTGTTACCTTTCCACCAAAGTGGTCCTTATTTTCCTACTTGCATTTTTACATGCTTTCAAGCTGCTAGGTTGGCAGAAGCTGAGACAAGTAATGAGAGCTCACTCTGTTATGCGGCGCTAGGGATTCAAACCGCCGAACTGCTGACCTTTCTGATCAACAAGCTCAGCGTCTTAGCCACTGAGCCACCACGTCCCTGTATTGTTTGTGTGTATCCCACCTTTATTATTTTTTACGAATAATGCGTGGTCAACAAATCCAACATATCTTCCTCCTCCTATTTTTCCCCACAACAAAAGCCCCGTGAGTTGGATTGGGCTTTTCATAGTCCTCAACATACAACCAGGCTTTTCATGACTAAGGCAGGGGTAGAATTCACAGTTTTCCAGTTGCCTTCAACCACTGGACCAAACTGGCTTTGAAATTGGCTTCTGAATTTGAGGAGGCATTATAAGAATCTGCACTCCAGACCAGAATCATTAAACTCTGCAGCCAAATGCTGCCCATTGCAACAAAACTTCAGAGATACCTCATTGGAGCAAAACAAAGGAAATGTAGATGACCAGGCAGAACCCATGGGAGGGGTCAAGTGTGTCATAAGTCTTGAGTCCCTTTGCACCCACAAGAGAGCTAAGTTCAGCTCACCTTGAATTCAATGGACTCTTATGTCTACAGAGATTCTCAGTCATCCAGATCATGGTTGTCCCAAAGGTTCCTTTTTTCCCAAGAGGCAACTGGATTTTCTGGTTTTTCTTGGTAGACGTTTTGCTTCTCATCTAAGAAGCTTCTTCAATTCTCACTGGATGGTGGGGAATGGAAGGGTTCCCATTCGGTCAGAGCTGAAGAAGCTTCTTAGATGAGAAGTGAAATGTCTTCAAAGAAAAACCAGAATGTCCAGCTGCCCCTTGAAAAATACACCTTTGGGACGTCTTGACTTATCTACCACCAGTTTGCTTTCACCATCAGTAGTTCAGATTCTTGTAGAGAGCTTAAGCTTACAACAAACTTTCCTTTGAACTGCCTGGATTTGCTGATTTTTCCTGCCCTTGACAGGAACCTAAGCCTATGTCCCACAGTAGCCATGCAGAAATATCCACAAAGGAAAGTCCCAAAAAATCAAGATGGCACTCATGGCTTTGAAACCCCACCTTTTTTTTATGTACTAATGGGCAGGGCTTCAGTTATGGCTGCTGACTTGACTTTTCTGAGCCCTGCTCTTGGGAAGCCCTTAAGGCAGCATTCCCCAACCTTTCGGGGATGGTGGCCTTGTGCGGTGGGGGGGATGAGGGGGTAGATTTCCGTGAGGGCAGGTGGCCCATGCATGTGCATACACAACTTCATTTGCATGAGTGTCAGGTGCAGGTAAGGTTGTGAGCACTAGTGCCCGCTGCTTGCGCAAGTTGGGGTGTGAGTGTGGGTGTGTGTGCACGCGCGCGCATACACAGGCCCATCACTCACAGCACCTGGTTGCAAATAGGGCAAGGCCCAGTAGTGGGCTGTGGCCCAAAGGTTGGGGACCTACATCCCATTTGAAATTGCAGGCCTACTGCAGCAACCCTGAACAACAAGTGAAAATGAATCAGGAAATCTGGAAAATGAATCGGATCATCTATACAACATCTTCCAACAAAATGGATATCCGTGCAACTTCATCCAAAAGTACTTGACCACTCAACCCACAGCACAACCGACACAAGCTGTGAAAAGGAAAACACAAAAACACCTCTGAAACAACAACCAACATACTATGACAGCCACATGACATCACAAGCAACTATAGTCCTCCAAACATCCCAAGCAAACCGAAAGACCCAAGAAAAAAATAAAAGTAATCTACCACACACAGTGTAAAGACCGTAACAGCCACTATATAAGGACAAACAGGCAGAAGGCTGCCGCAGAGCATCCACGAACCCAACTAGCAGTCAGAAGATACAATTAAAACTTCTTAATTGCAAAAACTCCGGGACAGACTTTGCCCTAGTTTCAACTGGGACCATTCAACTGGGACCAACTATGGAAAGCTGGCACTCTTATAAATCAGAACGGAATAAGAGGGTTGGAAGAGACCTTGAAGGTCTTCTAGTCCAACCCCCTGCTCAGCCATCAACAAGCAAATCAGCCATCAACAGGCAATAGAGATAAACACCATCATTCAAAAGAGGTAGTCAAAAAACTAAAAAGGAAACAATAAAAATCAAAATGCCGCCTCTCCAACAAAATAAGACTGGGGGACATGAAAGATGCATTATATTTGGTAACTGGGCATCCCTTGGGCAATGGTGGTGTTCACTGGTCAGTACTTTCAGTTCAGAAGCACCCTTTGTTTAGCTTTGTAGGTGCTTTTGACATGAGTACAGATAGAACACTAAGATTAATACTAGACCAACAATCAAACAATCAAGCAGTAAACAATCAAGGAACTACCAACTCAGACAAACACTAAAACAGTAAATCACTGCCTAATCCAGGAACTATCAAGATCTTTCAGGACTGATATTTTTACTCCAAGGTTTCAAAG